ATGGTTCAAGACCAGCTCAGGCAACTTGTCAAGATCTCATCTCTACAATAAATCAAAAAATTAGGCAGGCGTGGCAGTGCGTGCCTGTAGTTCCAGCTACTTGGAAGGCTGAGGTGGAAGGATCTTCTGAGCCCAACAGGTCGAGCCTGTGGTGGCTGTGAGCGTGAACTCCAGTCTGGGTGACAGAGTAAGATTCTTACTAAAAGAAAAACAAGCCCTCCCCGCAAAAAAACAAAGTCTTAGACGAGTGGTTTTCAACCCTAGAGGAAAGGAAGGGCAAGAGTAAGGGAGGGAAGTTGAGTTATCTGGGAAGTCGGAGCTCTAAGCCCACACTAATTCAAGAAAAATCTCTAGGGACATATTCCAGATGTTAGTATTTTCAAAGAATTTTCCCGAGTGATTCAGGTATGCAGATAGAATTGAGAATATTTTTTCCAGAAATGCCTTGACTGCATCTAATGTCCATTATTCTGTGGTCAGGGCATGAGAACCCAAGTACTTCCTTGTATTAAAAAACCCAACAATTCCTCTTCTGCTTACAGCAGAATTTTTTAGAGCATGCCCTTGGACCACTTGCATCAGAATTACCTAGGGTACTTGTTATAAAGTCATATTCCCAAGCCTGTCCCAGATAGACTGAATTAGAATCTTTACAGCATAGGCTTAAAAGTCTGTATTGGAAACATTCTCTCCCGGTGTTTTGCATGCAAAGTTTGACAAATACGGGTTTATAAGATAAAATCAAATCTCTTTAGCCTTATAGTCAGAGTTCTCTAAACAAGTTGGTTACAACCAGAGTTTGTGAAAGTTCTCTCTTTCCCTGTGCCACTGTGTTAATGCCCTGTGATAGGCAGACTGTATGGCGGCCCCCACTGATCCCCACCTGCTGGTATTCATACTCTCATGTAATCCCCTCCTCTTGAGTGTGGACTGCACTTATTGACTTCCTTTTACCAAACAGGATATAGTGGCAGGGATGGGATGTCCCTTCCAAGATTAGGTTAAAAAAGTCTGTGGCTTCCAACTTGGATGCCCTATCTTCCTCAGAATTCTCACTTTAGGGAAGCAAGCTGCCACATTATGAGGAGCCCTGTGGAGATGCCCAGATGAGGACTCAAGGCCTTTCAACATCCACGTGCGTGAGCTTGAAGCGGATCCAACACCATGACTCCAGCCTGAAGAGAGACCTTGAACTAGAAGACCCAGATAAGCCACACCTGCATTTTTGGCCCGTAGAAACTGTGAGATAATGATAATAAAGGTTGTTTTGAGCCTCTATGTTTTGAGGTAATTTGTTATATACTGATAACTAACATACTTACCCTGAGATGCCCTTCCTCCTCTTCTCCATGTCTCTGAGGCCCACCTCTTTTAAGCCTCAGGTATTCTAGCAAAATAGTCTCATAGTGACGGGTTCTTTCACTCCTAAAGCACCACAGTCATTAACACTCATTGCGATATGTGCTGTCTTGCATTTTGTGCTATTTTGTAATCTTTAGTTGTAATTTCTAATACTCTGTCTTTTAAAAATAAATTGTGTCTCATTGATGAGACTAGATCTTGTAGTACTTGCCTTAGAACTTTTTCTATTTCCATGACCTATCCCAAGACTATGAATAAAATAAGTGCCCCATAAAAACGTGTGACGAAGATGAGAGTGCATTGGAAGAAATATTAAATAGAAGGCATCAAGAGAGTTGACTTTTTTCTTTTTTGAGTCAGAGTCTCACCCTGTCACCCAGGCTGGAGTGTAGTGACATGCTCAAGGCCACCGCAGCCTCAACCTGCTGGGTTCAGATGATCCTTCTGCCTCAGCCTTCCAAATAGCTGGAACTACAGGTGTGCACCATCACATCTGGCTAATTTTTGGATTTATTGTAGAGACAAAGTCTCTCTAATTTGCCCGAGCTGGTCTCAGGCAATCCTCTCGCCTTCACCTCCCAAAGTGCTGGAGAGTTGGTTTTTAGTTGTAGTTTTCACACTCATGTCTATTCTGTGTCCTAATGCCTGAGTTTTAACCTTATATGGAAGAGAGGATACTTGAGCAGAACAAAGACTTGGCTACTAACACCAAACAGGATGAAGGCATTCCCTTGATGATTATTAAATGTTTGCATCTTCAAGCCCCCCCTGCCTTCTAGTCTGCTCAGTGGGTTCCTCCAGGTCTTATTTCCCTGCAGTCTCAGACCTTGGCTAGCCCATTTCAACCAGGGACTCAGGAATCTATTTTTTAAATTCAGTTGATTCATAACCAACTCAGAAATCCCACATTGCCACAAGTATGTGTCTCCATGATCTCTCTCAGCAACCAGCATGAAGGGAGCCTGTGTCTTCCCCTTTCTCCCCACCCCCATGTGTCCCCAGGACTCTCTGCAACTAAGAGACAGTAGAAAACATTCAATACCTGAAATAGTTATGGAAACATTTCAGAAAATGACTCTATTCATCCTTCTTCACAGAATAAGACTTAAAGCTATCTCTAATAGTTTTGGAAATTTTGATTAGGATGGTAATGGAAAACCATCCTTACTTTATCTAGTGTATGCACATGAACACTTTCACAATAAAGAATGCAATGAGCTACAGCACTCACGATAGTAAAAGTTCTGTTTATCTCAGCTTGCTCCACAATGAGAGGGCTCATTCAGTATTAAAAGCTATTATTTTCAACCTTTCCTCAGGAGTCTGTGAGAGACAGGTGCAGGGCCCCCTTGGTCTCTGGCATAAATTCTAACAGCCACTTCTGCCCTCTTCAACTGATAAAGAAAACTCCTCTAAACCAATCACAAAGATAAGGCCCTTGCCTCAATCAGTTCCTGGCCTCTCTTATTGTATGTTCAAGTTGAGGTTATCAGGTGGCCTCATCTCAGGTGTGGTACACATTTTGGATCAAGTTGGTCTCTACTTGGATCTGCTGCCTGTTTTGGCCCTGAGTTTCTGAGGTGGTCAGAAACAGAACTGTAGCCTCGTGGATATCAGACCCAGAGTAGTAAGTTCCAGCATCTTTTGCTGTTACTTTTTGAATGTCAAGCATAAATTAATTTTTTAAAGTATCCATTTTCCCTTTGAAATTATTCCTTGGATTGTCATTAGAATTGTTGCTTAGTTTGTATACTAAAATTGGGGAGTTATCTTCATTCTTCTTATACTAGCTCATTTGATAGTTCTTTAAATCCCCTCCTTTTATGTAGCAATGGAAGGTGACAGGCTTCCCAACTAGAACAGTCAGGGTTTTGGTATCTGCTTCCAGAATTATATCCTGCGAGATCCCTGAAATGAAAAGCCCAAAGTCAGAGAGACCGTGGAGAACTTCCTCCATCCCAAGGGGTAGAACGTCAGAGACTTGCTCAGGAATGATTTACCCTTTTAGGCCCCCAGCAAGTTGCCCCAAGGACACATTTCCCCAAGAGTAAAAGGCCTCAAGACCTGTCCTTACCTGTACAGGAGGTGAAAGAGGGAATAGGTCTACAGCATGGCTTCACTAGGGGGTGACTCTGCAGTAGGCTGGTGCTCTCCTGGTTGCCCCCACTCAGACCAGTTGCTGTCTGCCCATGGGAAGTTTTGTCCGTTATAAAGGTGGTTTGGTGTTAGTCACTTCCTCAAGAGGGATGTGACAGGCTGGCAAGGTCAAAAGTTAGGTTGTTGATTCAACAAACATGAGCTGACCATCTATTTCAGGCCAGATGCTATTTGGGAGACATACAGGTGAAAAAGATATGGCCTCTGCCTTCAAAGAATTCAGTTTTCTGGGAAGACAGGCACACAACAATTACAAAGGAATATTAAATGCAAATGTGGTGGAGTGTTAAGTCCTATAAAAGGAATAGATACAAAATGTTCCAGGAGTGTGGTGGGAGGAGCTGCTTCTGCTTGGGATACTCAGAAGTAGGAAACCCTGAACTGAGTCCTGAAAGTTCATTAGGACCCAGTCAGCCGTCATGTCCAGAGGGCATTACCAGGGGAGAGAATTGTTTGGGTAACGGCATGAGGGCATGAAGGCATAAACCAGTCTGTAAAACGTGGTCAGTCTGCCTCCAAATATCTCCTGTGCTGTCCCTATGACCCCCTGATCTGTTACCTTCTTCAGTCTCACTTTTGGCTACTTCCCCACTTCTGTGCAATCTCCATCCACATAAAAACATTTGTAGGTTCAGATATGTGTAATAGTCTTCCATGTGCCCAGTTCTTGCACTAGCTGCTCCTTCTTCCTAGAAAAACCGTCTCTTTCCTTCTCTCCCCACCTCACCTGGGGGAGGTGTTACCCTGGGTTCTCTGCCATGTTGGGTCATGGCACTTATTACCTCTGCTGTTTGATAATCTGTTTCCTGCACTGAACTTTAAGATTATCTAGAAAATAAATGGTATATCACTTATATTTGCATTCCCAGTGCCCAGGAAAGATCTTGCCAATAGTAGGAGCTCAGCAGATATTTGCCAGATCACGTAGGATTTCTGTCCAGAGTCTCCTGACCCTCAAGGAGCCTAGAGGGCTGACTAGTCCTCTAGTGAAAGCTGGAAATAGGAAAGAATTTGCCAGTAACCTAGGCTAAAAGGTGGGAAGACCAGGTCTTCTACTCCTTGTAGGTATAGGAAGAGGCAGGCACTCTGCAGCAGCAAGGTAGCTCCTACCTGGATAGACTTGCTTAAAATAGTTTACAGCTCACTACCTAGGTGATATCACTTCCCACATCATCTATATGTAAAAGGAGCATTGACTTGGCAGGTCTAATAACCCATGATTTTGAATCTCGCTTTGTGACTTACCAGTAGTGGTTCAAATTACATTTGAGTGTTGATTTCCTCATTTGCAAACGGGGTAATTGTAGTACCTTGTAGGGATGCTGTGATGTTGAAATGAGGAAAACGCACATTATGCACATATTCCTGTGCCAGTCACTCATGTATAAGCCCACCACAGCTGTTGGCTTCATTGCCTTGCCTCTTCTGCTTTGGCGTGGTGGGCTTAGTGATCTGGTCATAGTTCCCTGCCTGAGCTGTAATCACCAGAGGAGTCGCAGAGCTTGTAATTTCAGGCCCGGAATGGAGCATTCCTCTGAGGGAAGGAGGAGTCCGCTGAGTTTTGTTGGTGTCTGTAGGACTTTTGGCAGGTAAATGAATGTGCTGAATGCAGCTGTGTCAGAAACATGGCCAGTGTTGATGTATTCTACGCCCTTAGGCAAAGGACTATCTCTGGCAGTTGAGGATGAAGCCTAAGCCACATTTAAGCAGAGCCTCAGTCTTCTCTGTCCCTATAGGGTGAAGAAAGAATAGGAGGACTTTTTTTTTCTCACAAAATCAGATTTAACATTTATTTTATATTTTCTCACAGTCCCTTATCCATCCAATGTCTGTAATGTTCTCCTTTTCCCAGTCTGGTAATATACACAGCAGACAGACAGGGATTTAAAAAATTTTTAATGACTGAAACAAAGAAAATCTAAAACTGCACTTGTTCTTGCCTGTCTTGTACCTCTCTTCGAACTTGACCTTGGCTTCCCATCGGGCCTTGCGTTTAAGAGCAGGGTCTCTGAAGACGTCCTTGTTGACAACGGTTTTGCCCAAGGGGATATCCACAGAGTACCTTGTGGGCATGAGGTGATTGTAGTTATAAACTTTCACAAAAGATTTGATCTTTGGCCTCTTGGCAATCTTCTTGTGGCCCATTGCAGCTGTCACTTTGTGGGGATAGCGGTCAATTCCAGCCACAAGGGCATGGCTGTAGGGGCGGTCTGAGGTGCCATCATCAATGTTCTTCACGATGACGGCTTTGCATCCGGAATAATGTCCGACTAGGACCAGCACCACCTTCCCGGGCTTCATGAACTTGCCCATTTCGACAGCACCTACACAGGCCTACAGCCAGGAGGACTTTAAAAGCACAAAAACACCAAGGTCAAATCAAATCAACTCACACAGGCTACTATGTGTCCCGCCTCGTGTCATTCTCTCTGATAGTCTCTGCCACTCTTTGGTATCATACAGTTATCCATAGGCTCACTTGAGTATCAGTGGGAGAGAGTGCCAGAACTTCTGGTTTTCTCTCTAATTGGAAGTTTTAGGACCTATTTTGCCTTTGATCTGAGAAAACTCCAACTCTCTCCCCACCCCCTTTGAGTTCTTTGGGTGAAAAAAAGAGAAAAGTTTAGTGAAGGAAAGCCCTTTCCTTGCTTTATCTGTTACTCATTACCCCCAAACGCCTCATATAAAGCCTAGTAACAGCGAAGTCAGACTGATGAGGGCCCACAATTTATCTTTATTTAGGCACGGCACTTATCAGCTGTTTGCCTGTTTCTAATTGCTGGCTTTGCTTGCTGTTTTCTCTGCTCTGTCTCCAGTTGGCTGGAAAAGCAACTGAAGATTAGGAACAGAGGTGAATGAAAAGAGAAGAGACTGTGTTGTGTTTTCTCTTGGTCAGGATGCTATTAGTCAGGACGTCAGCTGCTGGGTGTCCCGGGACTGACTTTCATCAGTAAATTCTTCTCAGTCAAACTGGTTTGGGCTAGGAATCATCAGAAGGCTGGAATCCCTTTGTGTCTCTGATTTGTTTTACTGAAATGTCTGGGTTCCGCCGGTTGTTTTAAAGCAAACAAGATATTTTTGGAAATGAGTGAGGAATTTCAATGGGTGTCAAGGAAAATCATAGCGTCATTTGTCTCTGGAAAGATTCTGGCTGCCAATATTCCATCTGCGCTCACTTACCCAGCTGTGTGGCACCCAGGAAGCAGCTGCCGAGCAAAACAGCATAGAGGCCAGTGGGGACTTTTTTGAGTTGTGATTCTCCTTCTGTTATTGACTTGGGACCTCAGGATGTAAATAAATAAGCTTTTTCATATTTAGTCTCAGCTTAGGATTTAATTCCTTTAGGATGCTTTCCTGGCTCCCGTCACCTAACTCATTCTGAAATTGAAATACCCTTATTTCAATCAGTACTTTCCTCCCGGATCATTCCCATAATTAGCGCAACCAAGCATTTCTCTTGCTCCCACATGCGTCTGATCTGGCTTCTCTAAGAGAATGTAAGCTCCACTATGGTAGAGACTCTAGAATGAGAGAGAGCTTGGCTCTCGGTGTGGCATATGTCACATATTAGACACTCAACCTATGTTGTTGAATACAACATGAACCACACCGACGCTGTACGCTGAGACATATGGACACTTGATGAATACTTGTTCACGAGTTTAACCTTCCTGCTAATTTTTTCTTCTAAGCCTGCCCTTCGAGAATCATGTGGGGAGATTGGAGGGCTTCCAGTTAAATGATGAGGTGATTGAGGCAGAGACTCAAATATTTCATCTGCTCTACCACACCTTTTGTTTTGATTGCTATGGACCACTACCAGGAAACTTGCCCTTGGGTAGCGGTCATCAATCAGCGCTTAGTTCTGTGATGACTTTGTTCTTTCCCTAAACTTTCCCTTACCTTTGATGGTAGTTGGTTTTGAAAAAGAAGAAAGATGATTTCCCTCACTGAGATACTTAGTGTGGAGTAATGAGTGACAGAATCAGAGTCCTGGATGACAGGAGAGAGTCGCATTTTCCTATTGCATGTGACACGGCATTGGTCTTTGAACTTAGGCTCTGGGGAGGGATTACTAAATAGTCTCTTACTGGCAGAGAATAGAGTAGGGCTACCAGAGAGGTACATAGTACATGTAACTGAGACCCCCATGTTAACATTCAGCAATTCTGGGGATGTGTCAACAACCACCCTTAGGTAACCTGGAGAAAAGCAAGCCCAGGAGGAACAAATTCAGTCACTTTCCAAACACTCACTGGGTCTTTGCCTGTCCCATGAGAGTGAAGACTTTGAAATCTGACCCCAAAACCTAATTTTACAAAATGGTTCCAAATTCCCCTCCCAAATTCTTTATTGCCAGAAAACGATCCTATTTTGTGTTATCGTGGGTCCTTAAAGGGCTATTCTTGGGGGAACCGGTACTGTTAAGCCCATATATTGGCTGCAAATGAGAAAGCCAGCAAGATAGCAGGGGATTGGGATTCCAACTGAACATAGGATCTGAAGCAGCAGGAGACCCAGCATCTTCAGAAAAAAACTAGAGAAGATGGTACTTGCTTATCCTCAGTTCTTAGCTCAGGCTTCATGCCAAGGAGCTTCCATGAATGGGTCCTTGAGGCTGATATGGATGTGTCTTTGTAGAGTCCACTCCCTTCTGCAGTCCTGGGCTGGTTCTCATTTGACAGCTGTCCAGGATGTTATAAGATCAGGCTTACTTTGACTTAATTTGTTGTCATCTCAGAGATGGGAACTTTTTCAGGTCATCTAGTATGCCTGTTGTGTTCATAGAATGGATTCCTTTCTTAAAATTATGTTCATAAACAACTTTTATATTTTTGGCTCTACATTTATAAATTATTCCACTGCCCTATTCATTTAATGAGCGGGGCTACTGTCGTATTTTAATATCTCACAAAGTCTATATTTGCTTGTTTTATGAGGGTCAAGCAGAAATTACTTTCCTCTGTATTTTTTCTTCTATTGCCCTCAATAATTTATAAAGGTCCTGAAGGTCTTTTGAATTGTATTTATCTGAATTTCCTTGATACTTAGCTCCTACTAAATGGGATACTACTAATGTGGAAAAGAATGTTTAATTGTCCAAGAGACTGACTTATTTCTTATTGACAACTTCCTATAGGCTCAACACAGTTCAACAGCTGCAAAATGTAGTAATCCTCATCAGGATACCAACACCATCAACAACACAAGTAGTTAATACTTAGTGCTTTCCATGTGCCAAGGCTTGCTCTAAATACATTTAAAAGTGATGGCTCATTTAATTCCTGCAACAATCCTCGAGGGTAGGTATTACTGTTATTATTTTATAGATGAGGAAAGCAAGGCACAAAGTAACTTGCCCAAGGTCATATATATAGCTAGTGAGTCAGCAAGTGGAAATTCTGGGATTCAAAACTCAAGAAATCTGGCTTTTAAGTCTGAACTTGAGCTCAATTATCTTACAATGCTATCCACTCTATACTCATTTATCTATCTATTTTTCTGTCTATCGATCTCTAATTTACCTATATAACTTACTATATACATATACATGTGTATATAGATATTTAATATTTTTTCAGGCTTTTAGAAGTTGGTAAGTTAAGGGTCTATAATTAAGTTGTTAATTGCTGGCCTTGATTTTATATGTGTGTCCAATTTATTTGTTCCTCTGCGTATCAGAGACTATGCTTTTATTTGTCAGGTGGGAGATTCAAGTAATTCCACAGGATTTAATTTTCATTTCTCATGGTTTAGCAAGATAAAAGTGAGAAGGTGCTACCTGCTGAATACATATAATTATTTGAGAAGTACTTGTTTCATATCTTCGTATCCCCACAATACTTAGTATATCAATTTGGGTCTCTTAGTTTGAATGAAAGAATTGGTGAATAAGTGGGGCAAATTCAAAATGAAGTTGAATGCTCTGTGTCTTATTGGTAAATCCTCCGAATTTTCTGTGTTGAGCTTGCTTGAGGTTTATAGTTTTTGTTCAGCATGATGTCCAGCATTATGGTGCCTGTGGATCACAGCAGTAAATAGCTTTGTCTCTTGGCTGCATGTGCTTAATGGCTAAGGTACTGGTGGACAACTTTCTGTCCACACGCAACTGGTTATGCTCTGCCTCCATGTACCATGAAAGGCATGGCAGATATAGGTGAGCCTTTGGTTAGCTCTCTGCAGATGTCAGTGCATAAAATCATAATTCCCATCAGGAATGTTATGTTGGCGTTGGAACTTTACATGTGTCCCAGTCATGATGACCATGTTGGGAAATTGTGTGATTTCAATCCTGCAGGATCTGCCTTGTGGACAAAAAAAAAAAAAAGAATTGAAAACGAGAAGTGGTGAGAAATTGCACCCATTTACCTGGGGGCCACTTACAGAGGCAGGGCAGCACAATGCAGAGAAGCCAGTCCATGGTGCGTCTGCGGCTTTTCTCAGTGCTGTTCACCACACAACCTACTTTGCATGCACAATGCACTTTGGCCACCTTATCTACAACAGCCATGTGGCTGCTTCATTGCTGCAGCAATAAAGGAAAGAGGTCCTAGGGGGTGACCGGTGCCTGTGCTATCAAAAGACACACTCAGATTTGTTCAAAGGCTGCAATCCAACAGGCCCCCTTTAGAGGCGGCTCGGGTCCCCTTCCGCCACTCAGGGCCTGTGTTTTCAGCATATGGTGCCATTCCCTTATCAGCCCCAGGAGGCGTAGTCTCTGAAAGGAAACAACCAGGGAGATGATCTTTTGTTGAAAGACACTTGGTTGGTCATGTTCTTGGGTCCTTGTTCCTGAATTTTAGGAATCTTAGGTAGACAGAAGGATGAGTAAAGGTAGAAACACTCATTTTTCTGAATGCTCTGTGGCTTCACTACCCATCTGGCAGTTTCTAGGTCTGGGACTTACTCTTCAGAAGCCAGACTGGGAGGAAGTAATCTGTTGAAGTTAATCAATTAATTGATGAATCAATCAATCATTCATTCAGCAAATGTTTACGGAGTGTCAACTATATACAAACTTTCTGCTGAGTGCTGAAGATATAATGGAAGCAAGCACTAGCCAAATTCCTGCCATCATGGAATTTAAAAATCTAGTGATGATGTTTAACTCTAGGCAATAGAAAGCATCTGATACTATATCTGAACTAGGCAGGGGTGAGGATAGCTAGTCAGCATAGCTGGTTGTGATCTCACCATGGAGCAACCCAGATCAGAAGTTTCCCTGGCAACGCATGCCTCATTCAAGAGTCAGAGGATTGCCTTTCTGCTCACTTTCCTTTATAGCCATTCTCCTATCAAGAAATCATTCTATTTGTTAGCAATCAAAGTTTTGGAGTTCTTGAC